GGGCGCCTCTGCCCGCTGGTGGCGCCGCGGGCCTTGGGCCGCTGGGGCAGGGGAGGAGGTGAGCGCAGCGGAGGCGTAACTCAGCCCTAAACGTTTAACTCTCCCTCTCCCGAAAGGCTGAACAACCCCTTCTTGCCGCAGACAAACAGGCTGCAGCCCAAGGTGTCCCCGTCTGCCGTGTCAGGTACGTGCAGGTGTTGCCTTTCTCATGCGGCTTCCGTCGTTCCGTGCGGCCGGGTGCAGAATCGCCAGTCCCTGACTTTACGCAGACAGATCAACCTTCGGCACTGTCTGGGCGAGGTGGGAAACAAACATGGGCAGGTATTCTCTCGTGCTTCTGAAGGGCTAAACCCTAAATTAACCCCTTCGGTGTTCCGTGTCCCAGTGCTGTTCAGAGTGCTTTCATCGCAGTGCTCTATCCGTTTGTTTTATTCTGTGTTTTCTGAGCCAGTCCCAGATCCTTCTTATCCTTATTAAAAACTTTTTCCTTCTTGAAACAACCCCTGTCATCCCTGAGATTGTTGTATAAAAGTCATCCCATCACCTGACAGTACTTAATACTCAAAAATAGTTTTTAAAGAGTAGTCTTGGAATGAATCACAGAGGCTCAGTTTCACACACACAGCCTGGGTGCTGCAACATAAATCCCCCACGTTAGCAAAATGAACGTGAACCTAAAAAAATTCTAGACTCTGTAGGGAGGGGAGTAGGTAAAACAAGCACTGAATGCAAAGAGTGAGCAAAGGAAAGAACTCTTGTCGTCTCGCTGCAGCCTTAGGCACAGGCTTAAACCTCACCCAGGTTCAGCAAAGGCATTTTGGGGTGGTGATGTTGGACGTGGTTATGCTTAATGTCTTCGGTCGTGTTTTATGAACCCAAGTCAAACATGTGAGTTCTGCGTGTACTGCACATGTGAAGTGAAATAGAAACGGGGTTGGTCATGGTTCAAATGCTGAATGGAAAGACACCAAATATAGCAGGAAGAAAGCTAGCAGGACAGTAGGCTGGAAGTCCTTTCCTGGATGTGGGAACTTCATGTAGCCGAAAGCTGGGCGTGTCTGCGGAACTGTAATCTAGGGCATGGAACCCTGTCAGGCACAGTCACTTCTTTAGCATGGGAGCCTCGCTCATTCTGCTCTGTTACAAGATAGCTGGGGTAATAGTTCCTATAATTTCTCTTTTAGAGCATCTGCCCAGGAGGTGGCGGGGTGAGCTTAATGCATTCCCCAGGGACATTCACGTCTGCTTTTCTTCCTCTGTGGGGAGAGCGCTCTCCTCACCAAGGCACAGATTGCACATGCTAGAGGGGGAAACCCTTTGGCCAAGGCTATGATAACCTGTAGAAAGAAAGGCAAGATCGTACGGTCAGAAAAATCACAGGGGAAGGAGAACCTGCCTGTGTCCCAGTGGCTAGGGCACACCAGAGGGCACGATTCTGGACGTCTGATCTTTGTTTCTAGGATTGCGTGTCTAGGTCTTTGGGAAAAGTGCATAGGCAATCCTGGCAGCAGGGAATTAGAATCCAGGACGGGGTTTTATTTTATTTGCTTTGTAATCTCTTTTCTTTGCCTTTCCTTGCACATATTTAATCATTCCATGCAAAATTACCTCCAACAAGGGACACTGTAATACCCCTGTGGCGCACAGTTCAGAACTTCTGGCCCTTTTTTGATTGACAAGGTACCTGCCTTGGGTTCCTTCGACAGCGAGGCTGGGATGGACACTTCTGCAAGAGCAGAGTTGTAACTGCAGACCCGTCTGGCGGTAAAAGGTTCATCTTGTTGAATGCTAATGGGACCAGACCGTGAAGGCAACTGTGAAAAGGAATCTCTAGTTCAGGAATCTCAGTGAAACTTAAATTTGCAGCAGACGGGCTTCACAAGCGTGAGCTTGAGGAGCTTGGGTGACGCTGGGGCAGGGAGCTGCCAGGCAGGAGCTGCAGCGATTGCAGTGTTAGACTTTGGCCAGACCTGCACTGATGATTCCTGTTATGGATCTGGCCTCCAAATACCTGTTTGTGTCCAGGTGTCTTATTTCTGTTGCTTAAAGAGGCTTATCTGTGTCCCTGGGTATTGGAGACGAAAAATGTTAAAGAACGTGATCAAAACACTGCAGTGGGAGCTCGCAGTGATCCACATGGAAGGTTCAACATTCCTGAGGTACTGCAGAGCCCTAAATGCGCCAGGTACTCCATGCAGTCTTATCACCACAGTTGCTTGCATTTAACCAAGATGTTGTTCTTCCCTCGTGTCTTTCTGTGGTGTTTTAGGCCCTGCACATCTCTTGAGGCTTGCTGGCCAGTGCTTCAGTTTTGTGGAATCCACGTGAGTAGTGGATTTGGATGTTTGGTTATGTATATTTATTAGGAGTGGACTAGTTCCTTGTTTCCATCTGAAACATTTCCTACTTTCTTTTCTTTTTTTTTTTTTTTTTTTTTTTCCTTTTAAGGTACAAGTACGAGTTTTGTCCTTTCCATAACGTCACCCAGCATGAGCAGACTTTTCGATGGAACGCCTATAGTGGGATTTTAGGGTGAGGCTTTTGGACCTTTGAGTTTTACCTGTGCTGTCAGCAGAGCGTTTTACAGATTGTCAAAAAGGAGGCAGTTTTAAAATTAAGATCCTCGTATTGGGCAGCTTAGGTCACTGCAGTTCCCAAGGTCTTGTGCATAAAAATACCTTGTCTTGAAAAATGCAGATTTTTTTGTTGATAAATCCTAACCTCCTATTTTAACTGGAGGCTGATTAGAAACCAGTGCCGGCTGCAGGTGGGATGGGATCATGCGAGACATTCAGTCATGTGTAACTACAGCTTAGATCGTGCGTCTGTTAACTGTTTTCACTTCAAGCTGAATATTACCTTACAAGATGAAATGGGTGCTTTGTGCCTAGTGGTTGTGTCAAACACGTTTAATAAAAGACTCAGTGTGGACCCGAAAAAGTATCCCAAAGTATCCAAAGACCCCAGAGCATCCAAATCATAGACCTAAAATAAACTCAATTATAACCCAGAGGACTGTTTTAAAATTACTGCCTTCCTGAATATTTTTTATGTAGATGTCGCTTTTTTTCTTGGTTTTTTCCCCCTCCTACGTGCACAATCGTTAGCGAGCCAATGTGAGAGGAAAAGGGTACATCAAAATGCAGAGTATCCCTGGCTTTGGGACCAGCAGAGGTTTTGTAGGTACTCTCACTGGCCCTAAAAGTCTGGCAGACGATTGGAGTTGCACAGGGTACTTTGCATCGTGGAATCTGTTGTGGGATTGAGCTGTAAGCTGCAGTTTATTGGGTTTGAACATGGACCTGTAAGTGCAAGTGGTCGGCAAACTGAAAGCTGATCCAAAGCTGTTCTCTCAAAGTAATGCTGACGTGTGCTGCGTAGCGCCTGGGTAGCAAACCACTCTGCTTGTACGGTCTGGCTGTACAAAATGGAAGCGCTAAGGCAACAAAGCTGAAGTGCATACAGTTAAACCGCACGTGGTGCAAGGGTATCCCTGTTTTTCTTCTCGAGTGTTCACCTTTTTCTTTCCGGTAATTTAAAATAAAACTATATCCTGTTTTTTTCAGAATCTGGCATGAGTGGGAGATTGACAACAACACGTTTGTGGGGATGTGGATGAGGGAAGGAGACTCCTGTGAGACGAAGAGCAGGCAGACAAAGGTACAGTAACCTCGACCAGGCAAATGCAGGCAGCGTGACTCGACACGCACTCGTGACATTCTACAGACTGAAACGCTCCAACCTTGAAGTCATCTTTTAAGATGTGGTATAGAGCATAAAGATTAATTCCCGCAGGAGCTGGGCGAATGGATGGCAGAGGGAAGCTAAAATCAGGCTAAAATTTGGAAGAATTTTACTTAAGTATTCTCACTGGTTACTTTTAACTCTTTTCTCTTTGGTAGAGTGGAATATTCGGGTGTTCTCACTGCTGTAGAAACAGAGCACTTTGTAATTTCTGTCAGGAAAAATAAAGGAAAAAACATATTTGTTGAATTTAAGATGCCAGCCCCTTGGCTAAGAACATCCAGGAGAAAGAAGGGGAAAGATTTAGACAGGTAACAGCAGCATGCTGTGAAGTGAAATGAGGTGTTAAATGAGGAGGAGAGGGCATGCAAGGAGAATTAAGGAAGGAATCAAATGTAGGGAGTGGCAGAAGAACCAGGGGAAGAGAACCAGGG